TTTTGCTTCAAGGTAGTTGCGTAATGTATGTTGGCAAACAGACATATTACACGAATACTCCAAATGCTACGTTCATTCATATTATAATCATATTGCATGTTTAATATTATAAATATGTGGCAATTTTTATAAACAAACATGCATTTTATCTTTTTAACAAAATTTTTTTGCGCTTAAAATCTAATTTTATTGAACAATTATTTTAACGAAGTATAAATTCTATATATTGCACTATGAAATGTAAAAATAAGATAAATATAAATAAATATAAATCCCATAATATATTACAAAATGTAGAACGATTTATTTAATCGTTATATCGCTATTTATGTCGGTACGTTGATTTTATAGTGGAAATATTTTTTTATGAAATATATTTTTTATCAATTTTCATTTTCAATTACATATATGTCTACACATAAAAATAAAAATAAAATGCAATCAAACTTAAAGCAAATCTGCCGTATTATCTTAATGTTTAAAATTGCAAACGATTTTTATTTTACATACATGCGCATATATTATATATACACGTGCGACATGCGTGAAGAAAAGATGATGTTGATGTGCCAAAAGATATTATGTAAATCACTTTTTCTGCAATTTGTAGGGTCTCGTAATCGCCGGCCTCGGTGACTTGCAGAGGCCAGCGAACAAAATCTCCGTCAGCCAATCTTGTGCCTTGGGCATCACGGGATTAATCTGGACTAGATACTCCTTAGTCATCACCCCGAGAAACTGGAATCTTTTTAGCGTAAACCTCTTCGTCGCGTTTACGGCTATATATCAAATAACGAGAGCTCTGAGGTAATTATTTTGACGCAAATTTCAGATTTACATCGTAAAATTGCATAAAATTCATCTAACAAATTCACGCTTCAATATTTTCATTTCTATATTTTACGAATATTTCTGTTACGCTATTATTATTTTTTAAATTTCTCTTTAAATTTCCCAGAGAAGCGAGTATTTGGTTATAAATAAAAATATTGTTTCTACAGAATTCTCTTAAACCTGTCGCAGAAATTGATTAAACGAGTTTGTTTGATTAAACAACATTTTCCTATTTTGCTTATAACTTCTCGCATAATTTATCTCGTTTGATATTGCGACTTTGGCTTCAGCTATTTCTCTGAGGACTTTACCGAATTAATATTTGTCTCAGGTATCAGCGCCAGCAAGCAGCTTTGGAGGCAGCGAAGATGATTCCGTCAGATGCAGCTCACTGACGATAACTACAAATATAGATATACATTCCTAGGAATCGAAAAAAGGAATACTTAATTCTTCGCTACTTCACGTTTCGTGAAACGTTTATGTTACCATTTAGCACATCGGGACGAGTAGTAGTGACGTTTAGCGTATCTGACCAATACGTCTTAATGACGAACAAAAAACTGGAAAGATAAATCGGTGATACATATAGTATATATAACTCGAAATATTTAAAAATTACGAAGTTGTACAATTACGTTTGATCGAGCTCGTAGCATAAATTCTTTAATGAAACAAATTGATATCATCTTGAATAACTCTAACGAACATCCAAGGATGCGATCATTCTCACTACAAATACTTTGAATTATTAATTTAATTGATCAATCAGAAGAAAGAATTTTACTAATTAAAGAATACTTCAAAGCATTGTAACATCGCATTGATCGTGTCTCAAATTAATTAATGTCTCATGATTTTTCAAATGTCTTTGCGATATCTATTAGACGTTCGGTCGAAAAGAACACAGCGAATTTTACGTAAGGTCGATTGACTTTTTTGGTGCCAAACTGTGATATATATGACGCACGATATGACATTCATTTTAGATGCTGTACGATATATATTGTACACTAGATAGATAAAAAGTACAACTACACAGGGCACAGAAAGAATGGAGTTGAGAATGATCAGGTGTAACGTATGGATTTGACGCATCGTATGGAACATATGGTGCGCTATCAATCCATTGATAACACTTAATTGCACCTACGTGTTTGATCGTTGTGCACCACGTGCGTTCTACCTCGAGACGTAACGATGCTCACGATGTGCTTCTGCATGACATATCGACGTTACGTAATATAAAGTGTTATAAATAGTAATAATGTAATCTTCTTACGGACTCTCTCAAATTCAACAACAAAAAATCCAAAGAAATCAGGGCAAATGAGAGTTATCGTGGTAGTTAATACGCAATCTTAAATCTTTATTCCAAAAAATAAATATGTCCTATTTTTTGGAATAAAGATTCTATTTTCTGGAATAAAGATTTAAGATTGCGTATTAACTACCACGCTGACTCTCATTCGACCTGATTTTTTGAATTTTTTTGTTGATAAAGTGTTATATGTGTCAATATATCGTAACATTTTAATTAATATTATTGTAACTGCCTTGCCCTAATCAAAGTTAAAATAAAATTACAAATATTTTTAATATCACTGCGTTGTGAAATAATAAACAATCAACCATACTCGAGGATGACGTAATTCCCGGAAGATAAAAATATTTGACATTGAACATGACTGTATAGGTGTTATGGATAATTCTCACGTTATCGAGCAGTAAAATGGCGTTTACATTTGGCCTTTGAGACGTAGAACCTGATGTCGCGCTTTAATAACAAGAATAATGCGCGCCTCGTATCCTTATTAAACGTAAAACACATAGATGTTTCGCATTGTCAAAGAATCAAAGGAAGATAGAGATCTCGTCTGATTAATGGATTTCATCACGCTTTAGTGACGATGCCGATGTTATTGTTTGGTAGATTTGTCACAAAGATTAAGAAGACTTATTACGGGAGGAAATTCAGATTCTACCTGTGTCATGTAGTTAGCAAGTTTACAAATTCACGCGTATTCGTATTATCGATTGTAATTAAATTTCGTTTATTAAATTTTTTAAATCTATTTTGCTACTTAAATTCGTGCTGTCTTGGGTACATTTTTTTTTATTTGAAAGAAATTTATAAAAAGGGAAATATTTTGCGGAATAAATCAAAAGTTATTATTATTTATTAATATCTTTACAGTTTCATTCCCCAAAGGGGATTTAATTTTCAACTTTAACTTTTTATTATAAACTCAATTACAATTTTTTTATATTATCAATTTTAAAGCCAAGAATATGCTTCGGAAGCGTAATTTTTATCACAAATAATAAAGATTTTTTGTCACAAATTAAAACATTGTAGTATAAATAAAAGGCAGTAATTTATTTTCTTAGATTACCTTCCTTTTAGAAGACACAGTCAACACAAGTTTGTTTTTCCTTTATTATTTATTGAATGTCAAGGATAGAACGACATTTGTGCCGACTGTGCCTCTTGAAAGAAAAGCAGTATTATATGCATGTATCTTTTAAAAGACGAGCTACTCCGAATAACAGTAAAATAAAATATGATATGTCCATCAATATATTATAGACAATATAGACGCTACGTATTGCCGACATTATTATATGCAAGAGAGGCTTACCGTCTCTAAATTTTAATAAAAAGAAACAAATTATATAATATGAAAACTTTACGATGAAAAATTTAATGCTTATTGCTTTATTTATGTCTGACGCGTTATTTATATAAAAATTGCTGAAAATTTTCGAAGTCTGATTATAATTTTAATAAGTTTTATGCGAAGATAAATTTTTACTGTCTCTCCCTCCGACTAAAATCTTGTACTTATGATTATTCCTAAAGAAATAGTTGAAAAAGCAATAACACGATATTATGTATATATATATAAAATAACGTGATAAATTTCCCCATTATCAATCTTTGCCGTTATATCGACAGACTTCAGATCTATCAAATTCTCTCAGCGTCAAGTCGTAGTAAATTATTCTATTGGGTTGGTCAAAAAGTTTGTACCATTTTTTTTTAGCCCAAAATTATACATAGAATATATTTGTTGTTGTTATTGTATTATTCAATACAGCAAAGTTTTAGCTTTAAAAATTAAGTTTTTAAATTGCGATACGATGATTTTTAACAAAGTTATGAGCAATCAAAGTCAAAATGCTGCTTTTATTTAATTCGCGACAACCCAATAACAAAACATCTTAGGAACATTAAAAAAAAAAAGATTTTGTAAAGAAAATTTTAAACTTTTTGGATGGAAAGCAGAAAATTTTCGCAAATTTTTTTTAAGCAAATGATAGACTCAAAGTTAGAAGAAAATTTTCCATCTTTTTCAACTCGTTTTCTGTATGTAAAAATGATCAAACTCACAAAAAACATAGTAATCCTTTAAAAGTAGAAATTTCAAGTTTTAAAACCGTTTTTAAATTTAAATTTCGTTTATTTTTGACGAAGATATTGTAAATACAATTTTATGCCAATAAAACGGCACCAACTTTCTGGCTAACCCTATATATCAATTTTGTCGCATTACCCATCATTTCCGGGTTAATAAATATGACTTTCACATTGAAAGCCAGATTGAAATTATCTGGATAATTAGCACTTATCTAAAAAAAAATCATCTTGCGCATTATCTCATCATCGACTATTGTCGATGACCAGCTCGATTTCTGCGCGGCGGTCACACTGTATAATTTATAAGGGAGTCGTTTCCGGAAAGAAATGTTTCATATATAATTATATATAATTACGTAAAAAAATTGACATATTTTATATACAATTAATATTATATATATATATAATATATCCATATATATTATAACATTTTTTCGCGGGTTGTGTCTTGTAATTTTTATCTTGAAATAAAGTAAAAATTACAAAAACGAGCAACTTCATTTAGAATATATAATTTCGTTGATCAATGCCTAGTGAATTTGCTCACTTTTGAAATTTTCACCCGGTTTCGAAATACACAATCAACCCCCGAGAATCAGGTGGCGCGCGTTGCGACGCGTAGAATCGTCAATCGATGGTCGTTGGTGATTCGCGTGTCTGCCGCGCAAGGCCGTTGGCGGCGCTCGCGTCGCGACGGGTGCGCAACGTGAGCTGCGCGCGTGCACGTGCTGCTTACGCAGTTCGTGGCTGCGCTGTCGCGAGGACGGACGAGGTGTATTATCGTACTCGTTGTTACTCCGGTCTCGCGAGGATTTCGGTGACAGTTACGCTTTATTCCGCCGAATACGTGAGCAAGTCGAATACGTCGTCGTTCGATTAGAAGGAGGAAGTGAGAAAGAAAGAGAGAGAGAGACAGAGAGGAGCAGATTTCTATCTCGTTGACGCACATCGCAAGATGTTCTCCGGCCTGACGAATCAGGTGTCCACCTGGATAGGCAAGAAGCCCGAGAACGGCAGCGGAGAGCCGACACCCGATATGCCCAAACCCACCTCGCCGGAGGTCGAGACCAGCGCGGATCTCGAGAAAAAGAACAATACCAGGTATGTGTGCCGTTCGTGTTCTGTCATAACCTGCAACATCGTTGAAACGGGGCAACGTTGGGCGGCAGGATGGGGGAGGGAGTTCGTCTGCTAGCCCGCCGCGGCCGCGGATGTTATCACGAATTCCGTTCATCGCTTACGCGTCATTACACCGTATTACATCGTTATTATTCACGATGTACCTATTTACGAACGTTATGCGTACGCGGCTCGCGAACTGCGTCGCGAATCTGTCAGCCGTGAAGTTATGCGCGAATCGATCCTCTCGCGACTCCACTTTGCGTGGACTCGAAACCCCTCTTTCCCTCCCTTATATCTCTCCGTCAACGACGAAAAATTCGAAACCTACACGATTCCGATAAATTCAACATCCGGATGTTGCGCGACGAGGAAGAGTTGATCCCGAAAGTCGAGTGAATTATCGCGAATAAAACGAGAAGAGCCGTCTCGTACGTGGAATTAACGAGCTAAGTAAGTCGCGATTGCGAGGATCCGCAGGTTCATCCTGCGATCCCAAACAGCATATATATTAAAAATGGAAAAATGGGGACGTCTTATGGCACGATGCCAGAAAGACATCTTAATTATGTCTTCAGGACGTCTCATGTCCGCATTTGGGTCGCATCGTTCTTTGGGTAATTTTTTTCTTTATTTTTTGAAGAGAAACGCGCCGCGTTTAAAACTGACGGCATAACTTCCTCCCCTCGGATGAATGTGTTTTCGTGATTAGATCAATAACGCCCAACTTACGTAAACTAGCACGACGGGGTGATATCCCGCGAATCGCGACATTCGCTACGCCGAATTTGTACAGTCGTTGAGATCTCACCGACGCACGCCCACTTCCGTTTCCTCTCTCCGATCGCATATTTTCAGCATTTTCCTAAAATGTTTTTCTCCTCTTTTTCGAACCGTTTAATTTAAATATTAATTTTATTTAATTTCAAGTATGGACAATATGCGAAAGCACGAAAGAACGGATTTAATCCTTGAACGATGTTCACGTTTCGTTCTTTTTACTCCGTTGAGCAAATCCTATTTTTGTGAAATTTACCACCGTGCTGAAATCGAAATTGGATTTTCAGAAATCGCTTAGCGTCACGTATGTCACGAATATAAAGATATAATATAATAATGGAAAAAAAAGAAGAAAATATTAAAACTTCTAAAAATATTTTTATTACAATTAATTATAATGTATTTTAATCTTATTATACATATTCATTAAGATAATAAAAATATAAAGTATATTTTATTATATTTTATAGAGCTTTGATTTTTATAATATTTTTCTTAAATACTTCTTAGTTAATTTAAAGCGATATTATGATTTTGTATACCTTAAATTTTTGCTTTTAACATAAATCGTTCTCTTGTTATTTTGGATATATTTATTCTTAAAGTACTTTCTTAGATAAAATTTTAATGAATTACTGTGTCTGCGTCTAATACAATTACAGGAAGGTTTCTCGGCGGGTAATCGATTGTCTTATCGCGAATACTTTGTTGTTGTCATCGAAAAACTGCCGTTGACAAATAGAATGTGGATTGGAGAATCAACATTTCAGGAAATTCGAAACTCTCCGCAGCGACGTTTATGGACGTTTTTTCATTCGATTGACACAAATCGAAATAAACAGAAACTACGTTCTATCTTTCTTGACACTTAATGAACAGAAGCAGAAGACGATATTTGTATTGATTGATATCAACATTATCAGCACGGTGAGGAGAGCGTATCTTTGACTTTGATGATCAAACGAATTATCTCGCGTTGGATGGGTCGTTTAGATGTTCATCTATCGATTCGATTAAAATCATGACAAATGCAATTTTGCGTCCACAGTCTGCACCGTGATGCAGTTGCCGATAATAATAACGCATTATCTGCTCCTGACGTGTTGCAACAACAGACATCTTTATGACTTCGTGTGCAGTAATTATAATGCGATTCGTAACATTGATAAAATGTTCGACGACGGACTATATTTAATTTTATACGATTAATACGTGCGTGTGTATATGTGTGCGTAGTTTATTAAGCAACTTTATGCAAAAACTCATTTAAAAGTTTTAATTTGTTATCGCGTATTGATACGTTGTTACGGATACGTTTAATTTCAAAATGTGATAAGTTACAACCTATATGTTTTTACTCGCCCCTTTTAAAATTGTAAAATTTTTTTATTTAAATAGTCTATCTATTTTAAATCTACACGAAAATGCCTGTTTTAAGCTTAAATTTACGCTCAGAGGCATGATTCATAACACGTGTCACATTTACTCTCTAAATTTTTTGAAGTGGAATCTCTGAAGTGGAATATAAAGAGTGTGGAAAATTCAGCCAGTCTTCAAAAAGCAATTTTCAATCTTTAAGAATGAGATTTCACTCTATAAGGTTTTAAAGAGTATATTTACGTTATTACATATTATCGTCCCTTAACGCAACATTTTATTTACTGGCTTTTTATTTATAATCTAGAAATAGCAAAAAGCACATATATTTTTGAATTTTTATTAGAAAATTGATTGCATTTATTTTAATCTTTTATTGGTTACCTTTCAACACACAACGACGCACACATATGCGCGCACGCGTTATTTTCGTCACACAAAATGGAAATATGTAATTTCGATAAAATTCTAAAAAAGAAATTCCCCACTTGCAATCCATTTGCGGATTGTTGCGTAATGCGCTTTTTAATTAATCCAAAGATCGTGCAATATGAGATCGCATGTGAATAAAACATCTCAATAAAGTATTCTTATAAACCGCTTCTGCGACGTCGCGACGATTATTGCGTGAATTATGCTCTCGGATTATGTATTGTATTTCCTGCGAAATCATGCGTGGCGCAACGACAACGTGTCGAAATGTACACATAACGCACTCTGTCCACTCTCGTACGAAATCAATCCTCCGTGATGCTCCACGTTCGATCGACCTGATGGATGTACAGTTGTACGAAATTCGCGAAATGGAAATCGTATATAGTACGCGAGCACTTCATTCGCAATAACGCCACCAGTTCGCACACGACAAATTCACATCCCTTTCCAATACAAATTTGATTGGAATTAAATATATTTATTGCAACATATTCATATGTGTACGTGTATTTATTGCAAAGATTTATGCTATGCATATTTTTCATGTATTTTACATGATAGCATATTTTTCATGTATTTTACATGGTAGGAACATTATCGAGATATTTTTTAACTGGAAATGATATCCTCTATGCAATTTGATTCCTTTGGTCATTTATATAATATGATAGTAATTATTAGTTAGAATTTACAGAAATATATTTTATTATGTTTATATATTTAAAATATAAAAAAAATATATATATATACATATATAATAGTATTTTCATTTTTCGACCATTTTATTTTAATATTCTCTATGCACAAAATAATGAAATAAGTTAATTGCTGTAAGGAGAATGTATAATTACATTTAAGAAAAAGCTATGCATTGTGAAATTGCGTACTTTAAAAAAATGTAATTACATTTGTTTAAACTTTATGAATTAATTTATTTAATCAATTTTGTGTAAAAAGTAAGATAAGTGAAAATTGAATTAAAATTAATATTTTACTGAATAATTTTATACTTTATTATGTCAATATATATCAAAATAAAAAGTACGAAATAATTCATTAATAACTGATTTTTCTATGATTGTGTCTTATTATCGAATTATTAAAGGAATCAAATTACATGTAAAGAAATATTAGCAGTTAACTCTATGTAAATAATTTCTAGAAGTGCATATGTCTACTAAGAATATATAATAGGGAAAAGTGGAATATTATTGTCCGATCGTATATGTAAATTGAGTTGTACGACTTTGCAAACTCGTGTCTAACGCATTTCGAAATTCTCGTTGACCTTATCTATTCCGCCAAAATTCATAACACGAACACGATTAATACCAATGGGAATTTTGTCCCTGCAAGTCTTTTGACTTGATAATTAGTTACTTTTCTACTGTGTGGCATAACATGTGAATTTATAAGCTTTCACATCTCTCCAGCGGGAGACATTAAATTTTGGTAGTAAAGAAGGTTTTAAACGAGAGGAACTTTTAACGCTTAAATTTGTGGAAGTGATTAAAAAGGTCGCGTTTGTAATTCCATCCGTGCCCACGCTTTCTCGTGTAATCCGATTTCTCTGCACTAATCTAATTAATCGATCGGTTGTTCGTTGCGGTTTATCGTGCTACGTGACGTTTATATCTTTTTTTCAATTGTATCTATTGAATGTGTTCTATAATATATACAGAAAATTGCATTGCAATTGAATTGCGTTTACTTAGGATTTTCTATTGTTTTCATTGTTGCAAAGAGCCACGCTGGTTTAACATTGCGTTGCCTGACTGATTAATTTTCCCATTCGCTATCAATACAAATGATTCTCTCATATTTCATTGTTCATTCCTAATACGCGCAATCTTTAAGGTTTCAATTTTTCTTTTAAATACATTGCACAGAATCCATATTTCAGTGAAGTCGTAGAATTCTTTTTGTTCAGGATTTTTCATTTAAATTCACATTTTCCCCACAACGAGCATATTTAAGATACATGGTTTTTTATCTTGCAGTCCGAAAGGCAATAAATTGGAGATGTTTGCCGGAGTAAAGAATCAAATGTCCGGCTGGTTGAGTGGCGGTATACCCGGATTAAGCCGCGGCGCCGGGGCTGCAGAAGGTGAGGCTCCACCGCCAACCGAAACAGAAGAGAGTCAGCCCGAAGAGAGTCAGGCTCCCGTCAGCGAGCAAGTCAAGGATGACGACGCAAGCAGGTGGGGGTAATATATTTATGTTTTATTTACGCTTTATTAGATCGTTGAGTATGAAATGTCTCTTTTACATCATATCTTGCGATATCTTGCGACAGGCGTAATTTCCGCGGAAATAAAATGTACGTAGGAAATAAAATTGAAAAAAAAAAAACTCATGCAATGCCTCTCTTTTATGTCTTTGTATGAAAAACTAATCTTTTTCTATTTGAATGTAGAATATTTTTAAGGTGGAAAAGGTTAAAAGATCAGTCGTAAGTTTTTGACTTTATACCTATTGAGTGTTATATAAATTAAATTTTGCATTATTCTAGATACGAATCTCTTCAGTTTTTATGTTTTTATAAAAATTTGCTGTAGCTTGACAAATCAAAAACTAAAAAATACGCACTTTTGTAAGAAAGACACGTCGCTTTAATGCGATAATACTATTATCTTGAATGATGAATCATTTTATAAAAGCGTTCCATAAAACTGAAACTTTTGGAATCCAATATTTCATGTGTAACGATCCAACCCTATTACCATTCGCGAGCGTAGCGTCCTGTTCGATCTTGTCAGATAAAGTGGAATGCACGGGGAAAATATTTTCAGTGCGACCGGTGGAGCGGACAGCGGTCCCGCGAGTTTAGAGGGCACCCCAACTGACGACAAAAATGGACAACAAGCTTTTGGCGCCGGTAAGCCCCATAGTATTAATCCTTGGTACACAATGATTTTCCGATCCTTCACTACACACGATGGGTCATTCATGTCCCGGATTAATTTTTATCACTTCAACAAATATGCAAAAATTATGTGATTCTTATGTGTACTTTAACATCTTTAGAAAGTGTTTGGCAGATTACGTATTTACAAAATTGTATATAAATATTATAATCAATTACTTGATGCTCCTAGTTCTTGAAGAAAAAAATATGTGCGGGACACAAGTGACCCAATCGTGTGTACTAAAGGTATTTATGAATATACCGTCAGGATTGATGGTCGTCATCGTATTCGTATCGAGAAATCACTTTCAACGCCATTTACATCGTTATTCGCGAGATTAAAGCGTCTTATGTGGTATTTTTCACGAGACTATCTCGGCGAATCCTGGGTATATATCATTTCAAACGTGGGTCGACATGCTTCATGCGTCAGCTCACTTTATCGCCCCAGCTTCGTATAAAACCGTTTCGCTTAAACTATTTTAGATAGACAAAATTGAAAGCACATTTGAGCCAATAACTTCGCCCACATATATTATCTCGAACGTGTTTGAGCCGATGTTTACTCTTTGCCTTTCGCGAACAGTGTAGACACCTTGTACATTTTAGACGTTTTAAGCGCTTTAATATTAAAAAAAATATCCGCGAAGGTTATATCTAATTTTGACTACAATTTTCAGGCATTTACGCGTACTCGCTGTCAGAGAAAAATTAATCAGTTCTTTAACTCCATGCTTGTTCCTGAAAATTACGGTGGAAACTTTTAATTAATTCCTCGTTCGTAGATATAGGAGGAAGATGCTGAAAAGCTTGTATAAAAGTGGCTTATATTAGCACTGATATCCATCATATAGAATATTTTCTTATGGTACAAAGTGAAGTTTAATGAAAAATATACGTATACACATATAATATATGTATTTGTATATACATATATATTTAAAGTGCATATTTTGACGTTTCTCTCTCTCTCTCTCTCTCTCTCTCTCTCTCTTATTGACTTAAATCAATTAAAAAAAGTTAAAAGTACGCGTGATATTAATTGCAACGTGAAATTTGCACCCCATATATTTCGATGATGTATGTGTATCTGCTCATATTTAATCATTCGTCTCTACTGCGAAATTTGATTTCCTAGAACGACTGCAAAGCAGGTGCATATTGAAAATTAAATAACAGCAGTGCTTTGCCAGCAGGAGATTTGGGATGCATTCACAGAATAGTATAATTAAATATTGTTGTGATTAATAATTGCATCTATTATCAATTATTTATAATTTTTATTAATTTTTCAGATTGTTATTGTGATATTGTGATATTTATTTCTCGAGAATCCTCTTAAAGATTTCTAAAAATGTCTTTTCAATTTTGAGCGAATATAATTTTTAACGTTTATTTGAAGATCGCGTTTTATATTCGTCAACAGCCAAATATCAACAGAATTTTTACACTTTTGAGATTCATTGAAACTGAGATTAATGTAGGAGCAATACTTTTCTAACATTCTAGCTTGAGAATTTTATTATTGCTTAAAACAGTCTGACAATGAGTATGCAAGTCGACAAATAATGATTTCTTTTGAAGTAGGTCTTGCTTTGTTATGCTCCATGATTCACACAGAGAGAATTCATGGCGCGTTGCACCTTGGAAATTCACTTCCATACTCCCGCATACGTAACATAATACAAATTATTTCTTTCTTCAATGGAAACAAATCGTTACGCTAGCATTCTATGGATCTTATCGTTATTTTACTCGTACACGGAAAAAAATGTTTGGTTGAATTAACTGGAATTCTTATGGAAAATGAACGATCCAGACCTTCTGGTTAAGTCTGCTAGATTTTTGATTAAATCTAGTAGATTTTTGAATGTTGATTAACTAAAATTTTAATAGATTTAACCAGAAATCTTGTACATTTAATTAGAATTCTGGATCGTTGATTTTCTACCAGAATTTCCGTTAATTCAACCAAACATTGTTTTCTGTGTATATATTTATATCACTATTTTATGTATCTTATTACTTTTTCGCTACTTTCTTTGTGCGCCACAAGTTGAAGCACTTTGCGTAACGGGCGTATCTCTCATTTCGTAAAAGCAAAATTCTTTGTAGGATGCTTATAAGAAGCTCGGTGGCGTCGTAAAGGCAAATGAACATATGTTGTGTTGGGCAGGAAAAAAAATCGCACGATAAATTTGCGAACGAAATATTTTGAACGTGTTGTCGCATGTGACTGTTACTCTTTGCCTCGCTTGTAAGATGTACTCTTTATTTGTCTGAATCAGAGAAGTACTCTCACATGAGTAGACTTTTCGACACGGTGCATTTCTGGAAATTTGTCAGAGCGAAACTAAAAATGCGAAAGTAACGACTCTTGAAGAAAATTTTTTAGTATTTGCATTAGTTTCATATAACTTCAAGTCGAGAAAATGATTATTTAGACGGCAGATTTATTTTGCTGTATATTTACATTTATTTAATTATTTTGCTCTCTGAATATCTTACATGAAATACGGAGGACGAGTTTTAATCTTCATACAGAGATTTAATTATTGAAATATCAATTATTTTAATTTAGGAAGATGGAACGTGATTTACTAGATTATGATAAATACGATTCTATTATAATATCTACGAGGGAATATTCTTAATCGTTAATATTTTTTACGTTATTCACGTTTCATATGTGATCTACATGCGCGTTAAACAAATCAGTAAATTAAAAATCTTTTAGCTCACGTTTACACAGGTTTGCACAATTGCTGGTTAATTTGCCTCGGTCGTCAGTCCTTTGATTACACACGCCGCTAAATCGTCCCATGTTCCCGCAGAAAATTCGATTTCTGCCCTGAGCGGTTATTTACGCTTGCACGTACGTGATACCGTAGTGTATCTCCTCTCCCGGAAATTGCCTTTGTATTATTCATATGTCCTTTATCTCGCAAACTTTTTTACACGTAATCTCTGACAGAGATACGATACTATATGAGTATTTCAAAATTATACCTTTCACACGATTTCTCTTTGGGGAAAGTGTTTTCTTATTTTGCACGGAACTATTTCAATAATATATATTGAATCCTTGCTTGCAAAATTAAAGAGAGCATTACTTTTTGAATACATACGAAGTGTTTCTGAAACTTGATATTTGCTTACTTTCTTTCTGTGATATTTCTTTTAATCAAATGCTTTTTGGTAATTTCTTTGAAAATTATCTTAAGACTATTTTACAATAATATTTAATTTAAAATTATTGAAATTATTTTTTTGTTGTTTATACAGAAAAGGGGCAGCTTCTTTAAATGTTCTCTTCCTAGCTCCTTTTTTTCTTGTATTTCTTGGTATACAGAGAGATTATATTCATTCTCATTTTAGAATAAATTGCGCGCAGTAATAATTTATTTTAGATATCCCTGGTTCTGAAATTTTATTGCATTTTCTGAGCAGTTACTGGACAGTTATATATCAACTCTGTTTAATGATTGAGAAGTAAACTTAAGTGCCCAATCATGATATGTTTTGCTTGCGGTTACTGCGCACAAGTTGCATAAAATTTGAACCCATTTACTGAACCTGAACAATAAGTAGATTACGTAATATTAATTAATAATCTATTAATTAATAATAATCTATTAATACTAGACAATAGTTGAGCAGTTGTCCATAAAAATTTATATCTTTACTAAGAAAACTGTTTCATTCATTGAATAAAACTCTAAGTTCTTGTCCAGTTTTTACGCAGTATTCTTACAACTAATGAGAAATACAGTAATATTAGACAGTAACTGGATAGATATCTAGGAAAACTGCATACATTTCTACCAGGATTTTTTACTTGTTTTAATTACGATACAGATACAGGAGTAACAAGGAATATTATTTCAACCCTTTCTGAAATTATCTTTATACTTCTCAAATGTTGACCGTACCGAAGTTTCTCGCAGGCTATATTATTATATAATTTTTTTTATTTTTTCTGTACGTCTGAACGTCTTCGTTAATCCGTTACCTGTAATAATAACATTTTTCATTGTTACATGTTTTTTTCTCGGACGAAACCTATTGAAAAGGTCACTTTGCTCGTTCAACTTGGCTATGCTCTGGGCTATGCGCTTTGCGTACAGCGCGGTGAAGCGTTTACAATGATATTATCGGAAATCGCGCTTCCATCAGCGCTTTGCCGATCAGTCTTACGAACAAAGAGCAAGTTGCAAAGGCGAATCGTTAAGTGCCATCGTTCAAGAGAAATTTTCTCTCGAATATACCTTACTTTTCCTATTCTTTCGCTGAGTGAAAATGCGCAAGGGATTGGAACCGTCACACATTACAACAAGATAGACTGGTTTATTTGATTACCATGAAAACGCGCGGAGGCCGAGGAATATTTGATGAACTTTGAAGCCGCGAGAGAGTCTATATGAATGGCTCTACGTTCCGAGATATGTACATACATTTTGCACCTAAATGCACAAAACGATATTTGCAGCATCTTTCAGCACTCACGCATGTTCAAAAATGTACAATTTATTGCAAGTGCAATGGGAAAGTGTACATCTCCGTTTTTATTAATTAAAATGGAGTGAATGAATTCCGTCGCGTGGAATTGGAGATGTTTTGTACAAATGGGACATACGACACATTGTACAGTTCCTATCGATCGAATCGAAGCATCGACCCATGAAATCTGCACTTCTGTGCAGAATTTGTACGCGCGGGCTAGCATAATAATCGTGATGAAATTGAATGTGAAGTATTTATACGATATTCGCGTGTGTATATGTAAACGATTATTTACATAACAGCTGTTACATTTAGGTACATTTAGGTGGATACAAAAAACGCCGCTGACAAAAAGATATTTTTAACATATTTATTCAAGTATTTTTAAATACTTGAATTAATGCTGTTTTATTGTTTTTCCACAGAGATATTATTTATATTAAAATTTTCTAATCGGAATAGAGTTT